ATTGGCGCCACGTAGCGAAAAGAAGAAACGACTGGCGCGCTGTTGTTAACTCGGCTATAATCGCGTAAGCGGTGTCTACGCCAATCAAGAAGAAGAAGAAGCTTGTAACCACACCGGCACCACCAGCGGAGCCGCATCGCTTACGATGCCTCCTTTGTCGCCGCCCCCACCGACTGCACCACTGTGGACTCTTCAAGGGCATGTCACCCATCCAGCGGCAGCAGGTAGCACAGGCGCATGGGCATTGCAACAATTGTCTGGCACCCACGCATGCAACTGAGGACTGTGACTCTGGGGCTTTGTGCGGAAAATGTGGCAGGCAGCATCACACGCTGCTYCACCGCACTCCAAGACGTGAGGTCGGTCGGCCACCTGCCACTCGCAGACCGCAGCAAACCAACCGTGTGGCACGACGACGAAGACCGGTACCACCCTCTGAGTCCCGTCTATGACGTCCACGAAACGCAGCACCCACCAGGCGCCATCGTCAAAGGCCAAGCTACCGGCGCGCGTCCGGACTTAACAACGTTGTGGCAACGTTGCAACAACTTCAGCGATTGCTAGGCTGAACATTCGCCTAGGGGGGCCGGGATGGCTAAATGAGTTAAATTTCCCGCCCTCATACACCACTACACCACACAACACACCACTCACAAAGCAACACTGGCACACTCACCACACTTGGAGACAACACTCAACTGGAAGCAGAAGTCTACACCCACATTTACCAATCCATGACGTCCATCAACCTACCATATCTCTCCAACCCCCAACGAACAAAACATTCGTCCTGGAAGAGGCCAGCTCCTTTTTTTCGATCACGATCTACGAGCGACACACAACAGCGGACGTTTCTTTGGCTATTCTCGGCGCGCAGCATTTTCTCGGTTTTCTCCAATCAACTCAATTTCTATTTTCTATATACTTGGTATAACCTCCATTGGTATCCGACCAAGGAGCCCATCAACATACGTTTACTGTCACTCCACTGGTATCCGACCAGGGAGATTTTTCTTTTAATCTTGTATTTGAAACACTGTGGAAAGTTTGTGCATATAATTATTAAAGAATTAAAGGCAATTATTTTGCCATACAACAAAAAAAGGGTTTTTATTGCGGAGTGGGTGCTAAAGTGTAAGTGTTAAATTACTTATCTACATAAGTAAGTGATAAAATGAACTAATTTTAATTCAGTAACTGAATGTAAACAAATTTTTTTTGATACATAAAACTGTAAATATATCATATAGTTTTCTTATAACATTCTGATCGAATATTGTATTTATCATGTGATTTGATTGTTAAATAGTTAGTAACCACCGGCACTATTATTTTCGTACAGCTGTATATGTATATTTGCTATAAGAAAAGCACCTGTGGATTATACAATATTATAGCTGCGGTGCAAACGAAGTTAATGTAATTAATTTCATCTTGTTTTTAATTATTATAGCTAATATCCGTATTCCTCTCTGTAGTTAACTTTATGCTGTGTGTGTCGTTCAGTTAGGTATTATTTGAATCGCTTTAAATAATCACACTACTTATTTGTGTTTTGTTGTTTAATTGCTTATTGCGAACTTGGGAATATATCGTTTTTTCATGAGTCATATGTAGTAAGCACATATAGCTGTGATCAAATTGAAAGGTGAAATTTGTCCATTTCATTTCCCTCAAAGTAATGGTCATCTGAGCATTAAAAATTCACCTTTCAATTTGATCACAGTAGTATATCAAATTCGTCAATAAATCTCGATTAGGACTCAAGTACGCCTCGTATTTTACGGTTTGGAATATTACATGTAGGAATTTCAACAAATTCATTTTTATATACACATGTATGTACATTGCATATTTCCAAAAATAAGAATTTTATCACCGTAAAAAATACACGGCGCCACTAAATGGCTTGGAAACAATGAATTGACAAATTGAAATGAAACTTCACATAGTACGTACATATAAAGAGTGTACCAATAAAACAAACAAAATTTTGAACTATAGCAATGCCCTCTCTTATCTATGACAAAACTTATTGAACAACCTGGTACATACTTTCAGATTATTACCAAACGAAGCATTGATTTGACTGCTGCATATTCGTCAAATATGGAGGAACGATTGCCAAAAGACGTGTTGCCACAGGAGTATTTAATTAATTTCTATATAAACTATGAGGAGAAGCGTTTTAATGGTAACATGACTATGAAGTTAAAATGGGAAAATGATACAAAAAGGATTGCCTTCCATTCACATCGCGATCTTCACATCCGTGATCGGTCTATTGATTTACGAAAATGTTATACTGATGACAGGTAATGTCTTAATACAATAAAAATAGATTTTATCAATTTTCTTCAGTATTATTATATTAATTCAGAGTGAGTTTATTTATTTTTATATTTGCAGGAAAAATATATTGGAAGATATTTCAGTTGCACGTATTAGCAAGTTCTACAAGAAATCTATTTATACACTTCATTTAAATAGCTTCATAAGACGAGGATCACATTGTGAGCTGTATATGGAGTTTGAAAGTCATATTTGGACGAAAGCAGAAGGATTATTTTATGGCAGCTACAATGGTGATAACAAAAACGAACAGATTCATTCCATCGCCACTAATTTGTATCCGACTAATGCGAGAAGATTATTTCCTTGTTTCAATGAACCAGAATTTAAGGCAAATTATAAAATTAATATTCATATTTACATTAGAATTAGTGCAAATATTTTAATTTACCTTTTCGTGCTGCAAATCCAAAAAATAACGATGCCCATCGTCTAAAAAACTGTATTCTTTAAAATAACTAAAAGTTCAACAACTCCCTAACCACAAACGTTACAAGAGTACTTTGGTGTACTTGGTGCTTGAAGAATGGCATGACTCCACATCTTACAAATTTTTATACTCTTCCAATATGTTGTTATAGATATAATAATTTTTCAACTAATAGTTGGTTTTAACACCTAAAACTAATCGAGATTCATATAATATATATATGTATATACATATTGTATATAGTATATCGTCACCTGAAACGCAAAATAATGTAACGATATTTCCGGAAATTTACAATGGCATGTATGAAACRCGAAATAAAATGGAACATGAGTGAAAAATTATAATATTGGTTGAAACTGGCTTATGTCTGACTGCAGAAACTGAAAATGTGGAACATATGTAATACTATGTTTTTAATTTGAAGTAGTGAAGCGTAATCAATAAAACACCCAATTTCGAATTTTTTGATGATACGTTATTTTGCATTTCAGGTGACGATAAGTATAATTGATCATAATGTTTTCGTTTGACTCTTTAACTGTCCGCTATAAATTCAGTTAAAATTAATATATATTGATGAAACTTGCTACAAATTTTCCCTCATACCATAAGAAGTCCGATATTGTGATCACTTCTACGTCCACAAAGCACAACTATTATAAAACCTATAGAGTACTATCACTAATTTATTTTTTAATTAAGACTATATTTGGTACAACGAATTGTATTAGAGAGTCATCTGTGATTTGAAAATCTTCACAAYATGGGAGTGATTTCGCTCCCTAATATATTAGTGTATACATATATATCTTTTCGATACCTGAAATAGGTAAAATCGGATGAATACTAAAACTCCCAATATGACGGTTATATTAACTCTACTAAAAGACGAGAAATCAATAACTACGATGGACGATCTCAGGACCTCTGCTGACTTTTTATAGAAGATATTGATTAATATGTAAGATATATGTACATATAAGTGAAATTCGGAGAGAATCCTTTCATGATAACAGAATGTCTGTACAGCTACATATGTCAGAAATGTTTTGAATCGGGACAATAATTCCCTTATGAGAGCTGTCTTATAGAAAGATTTTCGAACTTCCGGCTGTCTTTATACTGCATATATGGACCAAAATTTAAGTTTCCTCAATTCAATTCATATAACTAATATCAGTCTTTTTAAACATTCGATTGTGATCACTCCTTACATACAAGTATAGGTGGTAATAGAATACATATATAAGGTACCTTCTTGAAACTCAGAGAGCATCGTTTTTCATTATTAATTTGTTGTAATGCCAAAAATAGATAAGAAACAGCCAATAAATAGGAAGTGGTTAATTTGAAAAGTAAGCGTTAAGTTGTTTGATTAAGAAATAAGATTCAAGGGTATAGATATTAAATTGATTCACACACACTTAGCAGCTCAGGCTTCACGTATATTAGTAAAGTTTTCGTTACCATATCGCAGGTGATCTGTCAATAAGCTGAAGTTGATGAATTGAGAGATCGTCTCCGCTAGGTACAATCGGTCAAATTTAAGTCTTAATTCGAAAATACGATATCTGCAAATAACTGGAGTGTTGAAGAGAAAATATTTGCATTGTTCGTTGCCTTAAAAGGATCCTCAGCGGAAATATTACAAACCATTCCAAACTGTGAGGTTAGTAGTTATGGAACGCTGATGGGTGCATTTAAAAGATGCTATGTCAGGGAGTACCGCAAGAAGATCTTCCAAATCAATTTGAAAAATCGCAGCAAGTAAACCAATGAGTCTCGACTGGAGTTTTCTACAGAGATTGAGAGGTTGGCTTATACACATGAATCCGTTTATAGAATACGACATGATATGGTGCGTTAACATGTCCAAAATTGACGTTTGCAGAAATCGTTTCAAATGCTCTGACACAGGAAACTGCATCTTTGCTTAGCAATCGAATATTAAAACTCATAATTTTGAAATAGAAAAGCGCATTTGGGTTAATCAGTTACTTGAAAAACTTGACAACAAGCAGAAATCACTGGAAATTTACAGAAGCCCGTAAGGAAAATGATAGTGTGGTTAAATGCCACCTGTGCGGAGAGTGTGGTCTTAATGCACGCAACTGTACCCAGTCCAATAATTCAGTTGGACGTAAACGCAAAGCTGACAAAGATATCAGCTTGATCTTCAAATCAACTAAATCATTAATCATCATCAAATCCAACTAAGCATTAAGCTAAAGGGGGAAGCGAATGCCTTGTAATTTCCTTTTCACAAATAAAAAGGAATAAGAGTAACCTTCCCATTATTGGATGTATTGGTATGTTTTGTATTTATCTGTTCTTGTCATTAAGTAGTATAAGTAACTCCATTAGCGGTGACGAAGCAGCATACTGCAACTAGAGAGGATACTCAAGTTCACGTAAAAGTAATGTGTGAGATCGAGATTGGAAGGGCATCCGTGTTGCACAATTTTATAGTGGAATATATCATCGTCAAAATCGACATGGAGAAMAGGATTATGACTAATACAAATATGRARTTGCCACTTATGCTAGCAGAWGCCRMGAAAACTAGAAGCAGTTATTTGGGCAGAAATATATGATGACTAACAATTGGGTTGTTGAGGTCACAGAAAATTTACATCAAACTTACTTAAAGTGCAAAAGCTTAAACTTTCCAGAAAAGTTATATTAGGACAGTGTCAGGAGATTGAAGCTGTGATAAATTGCACAATAAGTCTTCGATGAGAACGTTAAGAACTTTGAAAATGTTTTCCAATGGATAACTAGCGCTGGTCTAAAACTACTGAAAAGATAGACGCAGTAAAAGAGTGGTCAAATCTTAAAAAAATGCATTAATTGCAGAGTGTCGAGAGTGTCTTTGAACTGTGTACTTATTACCGATATT